TGCCCGAAAAAGGAAGATCCACATGGCGCGCTCCGAAGCGGGCCTCGCTGGCATCTCTTCCCTGGCGGAAGGCTGACGGAAGGCGGCGGAATTAAAATGTCGCCCCCCAAGAGATGTCAATTCCAGACGCTTCGCGTAACCCCACCAGCCGCCTCGCCCGCGCGTGTAATCAGATCGGCCCGCGGCCCGGACCTTTCACCACGGCGCCTGCGCTTTCGCTTGCGCCCGCGAGGAAAAAAGTAACCCTACCAGCCCATCCAGAGACGATGCCCAGAGAAGTTGCCTCGATCAGGGAAGTGGGCAGCACACAGAGGAAGGGTCCCTCTTGGAGCGCTCTTGGGACACTATTGTGCGCTCTTGGGGCCCTCTTGGGGCTCTCTTGGGCCTCTCTTGCGTCTTTAGGGCCTCTTGGCGGTCCCGGGAGCCTCTTGGAGCGTCTCGGATGCCTCGGGGAGCTTCTTTGAGCTTCTTGAGGGTCTCTTGGGAGCCTCTTGGAGGCCTCTTGGGCGCCTCTTGGGGCTGTCTGGGCGCCGTTTGGGGCCCTCTTGGGGCGCTCTTGGGAGCCTTGTGGACGCTCTTGGAGCCATCTTGGAGGACATCGATCAAAAAAAAAGGGTTTCCCAATTAGCGTTGCCCCGCAGGAGCCCCAAAGATCGCCTCCTGGACCCATCTTGGAGCGCTCTTGGGGCCGTCTTCGGGCTCTCTTGGGCCTCTCGTAGGGCCCTCTTGGGCCATCTTGGAGCCATCTTGAGGCCTCGGAAGGCTGTCGGAAGCGAATAGGCGGCGATGCAAAAGACATTGGTTTCCCTTAGGTTTTGCAAGGATGTTGGCCTTTTGGAGGCCTCCTTGGAGGTCTCGGAGGCCTGTTAGAGCCGTCTTGGGGCGGTCTTGGGGCCTTTGGAGCATCTTCGGAGCCATCTTGAGGAAACTTCGGCTATCTTGAGCCATCTTGGAGCTCATCTTGGGCTCTCCGAGGCGCTCTTGGAGCCGTCTTGGGCCATCTTGAACGCTCCAACTACCAGCGCCCCCCCCTTCAAGGTCCAGGGGAGGGAGTAGGGGGAGGGGTCGAGCTACCCACCCGCCCGCAAGCCGTCTAGCTCACTCCCATCCGCCCTCCCTACACATAAGTAACACCCGAGCCTGAGCATGTTCAGCGGTCGTCTTTGGATGGGCAGCTAGTGGGTACCTAAGCCGACCCCAGATGCGCGACGCTTGGGCGAGGTGCTCCACGCGTGCCACGCGTGCCAGGCTCGCCACGCGCGCCAGGCACCCCTGGGGCCGAGCGTACCAGGCACGCCTGGTGCGCCAGATGCGCCACGTGCTCCGAGTGCGCCAGGTGTGCCGCACACTCCAGCCGCGCCAGGTGCGCCGCGTTCGGAGCACGTGCAGAGTGCGTCAGGTGCGCCTGCGCACGTGACAGCACACATCTGGAAACATGTCGGTCCCCGCCATCCTTGTCGAAAACCGGTGCCCATCATTGTGTTTGGCGGGCCTGCGCACAGCAGGCAACGCGCCCCCCCCGCTGTCCCTATCAAAAACCACTTGACAGTGATCGCGGGATGGCCGCGCATGATCCAGATTTCGCCGCGAGGTGCATGTTGTATTGTTTTTTTGGTCAGGGATGGTAGCCCTGCGCGCAGCAGGGAATATGCTGACCCCCCCGCTGTCCTTGCCAAACGCAATACAAAGTGCTCGCGGGCCTCACGAGCATGACTTTGCCCCAAAGTGTACGTTCATTGTTTTTTGAAAGGGATGGTGGGGGTGCCGCATCGGATTGGCCGCGCATGCTCCAAACATGGAGGCAGAGTGCGGTTCGTATTGTTTTTGACAGGGATGGTGGGGGGCAGATCGGCATGGTGTCGGCATGGATTCGGGTTGTCCCCCGGTCGCCTGGGCGAGGGGGTGTATATTAATAAGGAACAGTGATAAACCCCTCCCCGACGGGGAAGAGGGGGGTTGGAAGAGGAGCCTCCCTAGACCACCTACGCCCTAAAGGGCTGGTGGGATTTGTTGGGGCCCAGGGGTTCCGAAACCGAAAGATCGGTGTACAGAAGTGTGGATGTGAAGCCGGCCCAGTGCAGCGCAAAGATGTGCCATCCCCCCAGGCACAGCATCACACGCAGAGTGGTTTTACAGGCTGCGGTAGGTTCGTGCCGTGTCAACGCGGCGGCGCCGCGACCCCGCCGCGGACGTTCAAGGTTGAACGCCACCAGTGGCCCAGAATCGGGAATCGGCCCATGTAGAACGATCTGGCCATCGAAAAGCCGCCGATCCTTCCAGGTTGAACGATCCACTCGGTGTCAGAAACCATCGCGCAGGTCGTGACGACACGAACGAGCCGTAATGAGCGGACCAGTCGACCGAGTTCATCAACCAATGGGCCAATCGATGAGGGAACGGACGAGCCGGGGGCGGCTCGGGAGCGGCGCTGCGCCCGTGTGTCGTCCTCAGCAGCGTCCTTGCTGCTCCACACGCGGCGTCGCAGAGAGGGCCTCGCCTTCGAGGAGTCGCGAGGTCGGTATCTCTTCCTCGGCGGATGGCGGCCGAAGGGAGGCGGAAGCCGGCGGAAGTGAAACGACGGCGGCTCCGCCGGCGGACGCCGGCGAAAGTACACGTTGCGTTCCCAGGAGACTGCGTTTGTGTTCGGATCAAGGGCTTCCGAAGTCGGCCGCGTGTTCTGTTGCTGCCAGTCGGTTCGCTCTGCGGGCTCGCGCGGGGCCGCCTCGCCCCTGCGGGCAGAGAGGCCTCAAGCGGATGGACATGACGCAGCACGCGACCAGCGTGCTGGAGTGGGGGGAGATGCTGCCCGCCATCTCCCAGGGCGCCATCAGCTTCCAGGCCGGGGGGGCCCTCCGCGCACGGGGGGGGAGCAGGCGCGGCGCGGCGGTTGGAGAAGGGGCCGTCAGGACAAGCACGTCCCGGGTCTGCGCGTCTAGCCCTCCTCCGAGTGGCCGACGCGAAACAACGGGGTCGTCTGCGCCGACGTTCGCGCGCCAGCTGCCCGCGCAAGGCCGCGCGTAAGCGCCCTCGTTGCCAATAAAGCGTGCCGCGGTGGCGGCCCGCGTTAGCCGCCGCTCAAGGTGCCTGTGCGTCATCTCGCGTAGGTCCCGTTTCTTTTGGTCGCTCGAGTGGAGACCAGCGCGCCAGGATGGCCCACTCCTCTCAGGATGGTCCGTTGCGGAGTTGTGGCGAAGTGGGTTCCGATCCTGCGGGAGGGGCCGGGCGCCCTTCCAAGGGGAGCTGCCCTCGCCCTGGCCTCCAGGGCCCGTCAGAGAGGGCCTCAGACGTCTTTGGAGCGGCAGCGAATCATTCACGAGGCCATCGCGCGCCACGCTGGCGCACAAGGGCATCGGGCATCGTAGCCATCCTATCGGTCCGCGGGGAAGGTTCAAGGCGGCTCCAGCTCCTCCATCTCATGACACCTGCAAGGAGTTTTCACGGCTACCTGATTTGGAGCACTCGTGCACAACAGTCGTCTCGCAGTTGCTTTGCAACTGTTCCCGCATTGGATAGCCAGCGCCGCTCGAGACTCGCGAGTCCGAGAGAAACGCTCTGGTAAGGAGCGCTCCAGAGTCGGATCTCTACCGCACGCATGCCGTATCCATCAGGAGAGCCGCCAGCAGCAAGGTGACGGTAATCCTGGCCAGGTTTTTCCCAGGCCCAGGATGAGTGTGCATGTCCAGCCCAGGAGAGTCTGGGCGCAGATCCCAAGACCAGGAAGCGCTGGGCAAGGAGAAGCGTGGGCTGCCGACGGTTCCCTCGTCCAGCGATCCAGCCATAAATCAGCGACGATGTCCTCGATGTGGATGTTTCTTGGGGGGTTCTCGTCGCCACAGCTCGACTCGGATGGGAAAATTACCCAGGATGTACCCCGAGGAGGGGCCCGGGTCGGGTTCTGCCCAGATTCTGGTCGTGAATGGGCGCGAGGAGGGCGGCCTTCTGGGAAGGCGCGGGGGCCTCTCAGAGACGCTGCCGCCTTCAAGGAAGCCCTATCGTAGGCCTCCGATCCATGCCAGGATGCCGTCTGCTTTCCCAGGAGGCCGCGCCCCCGCGCCCCATCGCCGCCCAGAGCCGCGTCCATCAGGGCCTTCCCGGCATCCGTCCTGGCAAGCTCTTCTCCTCCTCCCTCCTTCGACTACTTCAGTAAGGGTTTGCTTGGAAGAGAGTTGCAGAGTGCGCCGCCCTGCCGCAACCGCGGGGCTCAAGCTTTCAAGGCGGCGGCCGCGCGTGGCGCGGCCTTGATGGAACGGCCGCCGCGCGTGGTGCCTCCGCTTCGCCCCGCGCCAGTGGCGCTGACACCGCAGCCCAGCCGTGCGCCAGCGGTGGTGCCCCCGCCGCTGCGGCCGCAGGGGCCGCGGCCGCCGCCGGGGCCGCCTCCGCTTCACTTGCTGCCCGCGGGGGCAGCCGAGCTATCGGATCAGGTGGCCTACTGGAGCAGGTGCGAGCTCGGTACGCCCGAGCGTGCCGCGGCCGCGACAGGCGCCGCAGCGAAGGCCGAGCCCGGCGCCGGCGCCCGCGCTCAGGCACAGCCCGCGGTCAGCAGCGATGACATCGCCTGTGATAGGGGCGGCGCTGTGGGTGGCCATGGTGAGGTGCGTGCTGTACGTGCTGCCGAGGCCTTCCGCCAGTCGCTGGCGGGCGAGTGGTCCACAGAGTCGCTGGAGCGGGCCGTCGACGCGGCAATCGTCAATGCAAGGAGGGCCAGAGAGCAGTACGACGATGCCATCCTGGTCCTCCAAGCTGCCACGGCCGCGCTCTCCGCCGCGGAGGCGCGGGAGCGCGATGCGGCCAGCCGTGCCCGCGCCGCTGCGTCAGAGAATATCGCTGGTCCACGCTGTCGCAGCCGCAGCCGCAGCTTGCGGCGCCAATGAGCCGCCGCTGGCGGAGGCGGTCTGCGACGCCGCCTTCCTCGCGCGCGAGCGGACGGCAGGGCAGCCCGCGGTGCTCCCGGCGACGGGCAGCCTGGACGATGCAGTTGGGCCCGCACTCGTGGCACCAGCCGCAGCCGCCGCCGTGGCCCCCGCAGCCCCCGGGCGGCCGCTGGCGCTCCCTGGGATGGCGCCCCCCCTGGGCCCTCTGGCCCTGGGCGCCCCCGGCGCGGCCGCCGCCCCGCAGGCCCTGCTCGGAGCAGCCCCAGCCGCGTTGCCTGGCGCTGGGCCGCCGGTGACGGCGGTGGCGGCCCCGCTGGCCGCCGTGGCGCATGGAGCCGCCGCCCCGGCCGCCCTCCCCGCGGCCATGGCTGCTGGCGCCCCTGCAGCTGGGGCCCTGCTGGCTGCAGGGCTGGGCATGGTTGTAGCGGCACCCTACGTGATGATGGTCACGGTTGAGACGACGACGTACGGCCCTCGCGGGACTCCAGCGGCGCCGAACTACGCGGATGTCATGCTTGGCGACATCAGCATCCACACGGTTCCTGGCTTCGGTGACGTGCTGGGTCGTACGGTCCGCTCCGACCAGGTGGAGGATCTCACGGGCCTCGGGGCATCGGGCGACGCCCGCCTCCTCAGCGTGATCGCGGTGAAGGGTCAGCGCTCCCGCCGAGCATGGCATGACGTGGCCAGCTCGCTATCCGAGATCGCCTTCCCCGACTGGGCGATAGAGGGCCCCCACACCTCCCTGTCGTGCTGCCGCCGGATCGACCGTCTGGGCGGGGGCCCTCTCGACCACCACCGCTTCTTCGTGATGGTCCTCCACCTCCACCAGGACAGCTGGGGCGCCCCGATGCACGAGCCCGGGATGAAGGCCCTCGAGACCCTCGGCGCCTACGACTCGATCTACCTGCCGTACGTCGCGGGGGTCGAGTCGCTGCTACGCGAGGTGCAGCTGGTCGCGTATGCGTATGCGAAGCACGACGGGTTTGTCGGGGCCAACACCGAGGTGGTCGACGGCGATCTGTATGCCACGATGAAGGGCCGTGGCCATGGCCGCGGACGAGGAGGCGCCGCTGACGCCTTCGGCTACCTGGGTGAGCACACGACCTTCCGGGGGCAGCGTGAGACGGCAGACGCCCTGGTGCGTCCCGCCCTGGTCGAGTGGGTTGGCAAGCAAATCGAGCTCGATGCCAACACCTTAAAGCAGGTCCGAAAAGCCCGAGAAGAACGGGCTGTTGCTGGCCATGGTCCAGATTAGGTTTGGACACACGGCGGTCGTTCCCCCTGACGCCCGCTGTTCACATTCTGAGGGGCTAGGCTCGCCGTGGCAGGCGCGCCTCGATTTTCCGCCAGCAGAGGCGCAGGGCCGCGCCACCATCTCCCTTTCCTCCTGTCCTCTTCGTGCTCTGGCCATCGCGTGGCACCTGGCCCCATGTCGAGAGCGTGCCCTCGTGATCTTTTTCCCCTGCCTGTGCCGGCCTCCTCTGACCCCCCTAGGACCTCTGTCTCGCGCAAAGTTCGGAGGAGATTCGAGGTCCACCGTCAGTCAGCATCTTTGGTCTCCGAGGTGGCTTCGGTCTTGAATCAGCTACACGGTCAACACGGTTTGGACAGCGGTCAAACAGTATCGGCGGCCCAGAAGGCGTGTTTGGAGCATATCCACCGAGCGGTTCTACGATTTGGCAAGCCCCCGATGGACCTCGCCTCAGCAGGGGCCTTACGAGAGCTCCGCGTCAACCCGGGCTACTCCGTGACGAGCAGCCCCGTGGTTCTCATCAGCGAGGCCAATATAAACAGAGTTGCCCTTCCTCCTGTCGGGTGGTCACCTGCTGGAATTTTGCAGCTGGGCGGCTCCGTCGGCGAAGCCATAGTTGATGAGTTGCATGCGCTACGGCGTCCTGACCCAGCTCTTACAGATACTTCTATACCTCCTCCCAGAATCTACCACGATCCTTATCTTCGTTCTCATCCTCGGCTATATGCGCGCTTCCTGCTTCGCCTCAGCCAGTCTAACCTTGTGACGTGGAGGCGAGAGTGTACGTCCTGCGTGGGAGTCTTTTTTGTGGCTAAAAAGAACGGTGACCTTCGCCTGATCCTTGACGGGCGCCAGGCAGGCGAGCATTTCGATGAGCCCCCTCATGTTGACCTCGCTACTGGGTCGGCGTTCTCGGCCCTGGAGGTTGACGGTGGGGGACCTATCTATGTTGGGGAGACGGACATTGAGAATGCTTTCTATGGGATTTAGTTACCATCGGAGTTCTGGCAGGTTTTCGGATTACCTCGAGTACGAGCGGGGGTTCTAGGTATCACTACCGACAGCGCTGGGGGCCCCTTGAGGGCCAGCGACTGGGTTGCCCCGTGCTTCACCGCCGTCCCAATGGGATGGAAACACAGTCTATGGATCTGTCAGCGTATCATGGAGTTCCGAGCCCGCACCAACACGTTGGCCTCCCCCAGTCTGGCCTTTGACGATGCGCATTTTCCTGTCCGTCTGGTTCGATCTTCCACGCAGGTATTACATACAGAGTACGTTGACAACTTCGTTGCCCTTGGCCTATCGAAGGACCCCACGTATGCCGTGACTGACTCCGTCGACCGCAGTCTCCGTGACGCTGGGTTTCGCACTCGCGGTCCGACGGTGTCAGCTGGAGGGGGTGTTCTCGGTTGGACGTTCGACCAGGGCGCCCCGACGATCGGGATCAGTCACCGCATAGGCTGGCGGATACGACTAGGGTGTCTGGCTGTCGCGGACATGAAGTACGCCTCGGGGGATCTTGTCAGGGTCGTCGTGTCGCACTTCACGTCTCGGGCTCTGCTGCGCCGTGAATTACTCTCATGTCTACAGGCTTCGTATTCTTTCATCGAGTCGTCTGGCCACCACACGCGTGTTCTCTGGAGCTCAGTCAAACGTGAGCTTCGTTGGTGTGCCGCGCTGATCACACTCGCTTTCCGCGACGCCAATGCTGCCTGGTCCCCCATGGTCTACTGCGCCGACGCGTCCTGGTGGGGCGCGGGGGTCGTCAGGGGCATCCGCAGCGTCCAGGAGGTCCAGCACGTGGGCCATTATACGGAGCGTTTGCGCTACTCAGCGGCCCACGAGGCCATCCTCAAGCCCCGGGACTCGGCTCTGAAATGTTCGGTCAGCGGCGGTGTCACCGCTCCCCCCCAGGACTCCGAGGTCCCGAAGGCCCCCTTCCCCGAGGTCCCAGAGTCGGTTTACGGCGGCGACTGGTCCCTCGTTATGTCCCAGAAGTGGTCCCACAAGGAGGCCCAGGTTGTCTTGGAGGCTCGGTCGCTCGTGCTCACCGTGAAGAACATCGTTCGGAACACCCAGAATTTCGGTTGCAAGCACCTGGTTTTGAACGATTGCATGGCCCCCATTCTTGCGTTTACCAAGGGGCGATCGTCGAGCCCTGGGATCCTACAGTGCTGCCGTCAGACGGCTGCCATGTTGCTGGCCTCTAACTCGTATATCGGCTGGAGATGGGTCCCATCAGAATCCAACGCAGCCGATGCCGCTTCTCGAGGTCGGGCAGAAGCTTTCCGATTCAATGCAGCGCCGAATCCAGTTGCAGCGCTCGGGCCCGCGGGGCTCGAGGTTCTCCGCAATGGCTTCCTCGGCGACAGCCGTGACGGCGGGCCCGCAGCTGGCGCCGCGCCCCCTGGGCGCCCACGCCGGGGGCCTGCCCCGCGCGGAGGTGGCGCCCGACCTCCCGGCGCCCTCCTCGCGACGCCCACACCGCGAGTGGGTGCCCCACGGCCCCGGCGCTCAAGGGGCGAGGGCCGCCCAGCGGGCGAGGGCCTTCCCTGCTGCAGCAGAGGCCCCATCTCCGCCAGGCGCCCCGATCTTCCTCGAGTTGCAGAGCGTCTCGCCGAAGGCCGCCCAGGACTACCAGACGTACGTGACGGCGTTCTACCAGTGGGGCCAGGAGCGTCACCTGCGCAGCGACATCGCGACCTCGCTGAGGTCGGCGCCGGCGATCGACCTAGCCCTCGCGACGTACATGCACGAGAAGGTTTTCGCAGGCGAGCTCTCCTACGTGCCGACGATGCTGATCGCAGGGTTCCGCTACCTCTGGACATGCCCCAACGGAGCGCCCCTCGAGCTGCCCCGCAGCTTTCGCGCCTTGACGGGCTGGAACCGCATGGTGCCCGCCCAGAGCCGCCTGCCGTATCCCTGGGTCGCCTTATGCCCGTGCGTGCAGCACGTGATTGCCGCGGGCCAGGTGATGGAGGCGTTGACCAGCATCATCACCTTCATGTGCTACCTGCGCCCCAGCGAGTGCCTGCGTCTGCAGGGAAAGCTGATCGCAGCTCCTGCCCAGGCGCCGCGCCGTGTGCAGGACGGCCAGGGCCAGATGTGGCCCCTCCTCCTGCACCCGCAGGAGGGCAACGACACGCCCAAGACGGGCCGCGTGGACGAAAGCCTGCTAGCGGACAGCCCCATGTTCCCGTGGTTGCCGCAGGTGCTGGGCCTCCTGAAGGCCAAGTTCCCGCACTCGCTGGTCTTCACCTTCGGCCAGGCGCAGTGGGCCCGCTACGGGCGGGGCGGGCGCATCAACGAGCAGCTGAGTCTCTTGTCTCAAAACAATTTCATCGCCGCCGACCTGGCGGCCTCGAGCATTGGCGCAACCCTTGTGAGTGCCTCCCGCTCTTTGTGAAGCAGCGGGGCGTCCCCGCGGCCCTCGAGATCTTCGCTGGCTCCGGGCACCTGTCTGAGGTTTGGCGCCGATCCATGAGGTCGGCTGGCCACCCTGTTTTCGATATCGACATACGGCACGGGGCGGGGCATGACATGTGCAGTAAGGCCCTGGTCAAGCTTATTCGGGGCTGGGTCCGAGGGGGACTCGTGACGGCCGTGTTCATGGGTACGCCGTGTAATTCCTTCTCTCTTGCAAGGAACCGCCCTAACGGTCCCCCGACCCTCAGGGCGGCCGAGTACCCCGAGGGCCTCCCCATGCTCTCAGACAGCTGCCGCAAAGAAGTCGACCTCGGAAACTCCCTGTGTGCGGCGAGTTTCAGTATTCTCCGTGAGTGCCGTTTACGTGGGTGCCCAGTGATCGTCGAGAACCCTGCCAGCTCTCATCTTTGGAGACAACCTCAGGTCCTCAAGGTCCGGCAGCTTCCTGGTGTTTCGGAGGTGGTTTTCGACATGTGCGCTTTCGGCACCGTCTGGAGAAAATCTACCCGACTTCTTGGGTGCCACATTGATCTTCGACCACTGGATATTCGATGTAGAGGCAAAGGTATATGCACGTTCACTGGCTCCCCGCATTTCACCCTGGAGATGAAAGGCTCCAAGATCGTACCAAAACAGGCGGAGGTTTACCCCTTCTCTTTATGCCGTGCCATTGCGAGAATATTCCATGCTGCTCTAGTGCAACAGCGTGCTAATAAACTTCGGCCTCATGTCTGAGTCCAGAACGGTGTTCGCGGAGGTTCTACTGTTCCTGGGCTTTACACTGGTTCGGATTTTATACAGTACTGTTTCCTGGTCTGTACGTTGTCCCCTCCCCTGCAGTCTTGGGGACAAGCACATCCCAACACAGATCGTGTCCCTGGCGACGGAGAAAACATCTGGCCATGCATTCGACTACTTCAGTAAGGGTTTGCTTGGAAGAGAGTTGCAGAGTGCGCCGCCCTGCCGCAACCGCGGGGCTCAAACTTTCACCCAGTACCCTCCCTCCCCTCTGTAAAGCTGGCCGAGGCATTGGCAGGCGGATGTTATACAGTACTGTTTCCTGGTCTGTACGTTGTCCCCTCCCCTGCAGTCTTGGGGACAAGCACATCCCAACACAGATCGTGTCCCTGGCGACGGAGAAAACATCTGGCCATGCATCCTCCTCCTCCTCCTCCTCCTCCTCCTCCCCTCCTCCTCCTCCTCCTCCTCCTCCTCCTCCTTCTCTCCTCCTTCCTCTCCTCCTCTTCCCTTCTCCTCCTCCTCCTCCTCCTCCTCCTCCCTCCTCCTCCTCCTCCTCCTCCTCCTCCTCCTCCTCCCTCCCTCCTCCTCCTCCTCCTCCTCCTCCTCCTCCTCCTCTCCTCCTCCTCCTCCTCCTCCTCCTCCTCCTCCCCCCCTCCTCCTCCTCCTCCTCCTCCTCCTCCTCCTCCTCCTCCTCCTCCTCCTCTCCTCCTCCTCCTCCTCCTCCTCCTCGTCCCTCCTCCTCCTCCTCCTCCTCCTCCTCCTCCTCCTGGCGCCCGTCCTGGCAAGCTCTTCGAGCTACTTCTGGCCGTGGCGACGAGAACCTCCAGGGACGTCCAGTCATCATCGAAGCGGCGGCGTCATCGTCGCCGCCCCTGGCCTCCTCACCCCCGCACGCGCTGCCGAGTGCATCAAGGGGTACCGGTAGGGGGGGATAGGCTGAGGGCGGATGCATCGGCATCCAATCGCCCATTGTTCGCCGATAGGGGCCTGATAGGTTACCCAGCCTAGGAACGTGCGGGTTCGCTGTCGGGGCCTATCACCGGTATATCGGCGATGTATCGCCGATTCCAGCTCGTTGATCCCCCTCTGAGCTGGTCCCCCCTGAAGTTGCCCCGCAGTCCTGCCCAGAGTATCAACAGCCTTCCTTATGGAGGTCGAACCTCCATCTCGGTTGAAGAAAGCATCCGGAATTGGGGAGAACTGCTTCCTGAATGGAGGTCGGACGGCCATTGTGAGAGGGGTTGGATCCTCTCGGTGAGGGGCGAGAGAGGTCCTGAGATTGTTTCGCCATTTTCAGCCTCTCGGGGCCCTTCTGGGCCTGGGCCGTCAGCAAGCGACTCGGGACGAAGATCCGATCTCGCCCTGGGGATCCAGGGCCCGCATCCCCTGAGGACCCGGTCCCCTCATGGCAAGCTTGGCTCGCCCCCCTTCCTCCGACATCTCGTTCTTGCTTCGCGGCCCCGGCCCGCGGGGCCTGGGGCTCTCGGCCCCTTCTCGCGGGCCAGGTCTTCGCCCTGCGCAGGCTTTCCAGTGTCCCGGGGGGCCGAGGCGGGCCCCTGGAGATCCCCAGACTGAGGGCATGGCGGCCGCCACGATTTGTTCGTGGCGCGCCGGACGGGACAAGAATCTCCGAGGGACGAGGTTGACACTCCCGGAGGGACGAGGCTCCCGTCAGACGAGATCTGAAGAGGTCTGGCGTGTCCCGCAGCCGTTTTGGCTCAGGGTGCGGCCTCAGAGTCCGTGATGCCCTTGGGGTTCGACTCGCGACCGGCCCTCAGGTCCGGCGACCAGTTCGCCACCAAGTCCCGCTGGCGCCCCAGAAACTAGGGCCGCCTGCCAGGCTGCGCTGGTCCAGACCCAGGCGCAGGGAGCCGGAAAGCGGCACGGACATACACACACACACAGTCAGGGCGCTGTGGCAAGGACGACTTCGGGCTCAGGAGGGGATGGTTTTCTGGCCGCTCCTCTGATCCAGGACGGGTGACCTGGTTCGTGGCCAGGGCCCGACGTGGCCAGAAAATTCGAGGCGGGGATTTATCCATAACGACCGCCTGGGGAATCGATCTCGGGGGCCTCGGCGGGCGGTGGATATGGATCCGTAGCTATATTCTGCCCACCCAGGGATCCACATCCACGAGCTGCCGAAGTCCCGAAGGTCGATCCCCCAGGCGGCGATTGTGGACAGTTCTCCGCCTCGCAAGTAGGCCCCGTCTCGTTCCTTCTTCGGTGCCCCTTCTATGGCAGCACAACTCGTCCGCGGGCGGTCTCCGTGCTGGCACTGGGCCTCCGGAGGTCGGACTTCCATTAGGGAGGCGAAGGGCTTTCAGAACGGAGGAGAAAGCCCTCAGAGTGGAGGTCGCACATCCGTTTCGAAGGTGTTTGATCCTCTGCGCCCTCCCCGCACACCCTGGGGGCGGTACCCTCGCCGCCAGCGCGCGTCGCGCGCTGAGGAGGCCCAGAAGATCGGACAAAACACCCAACTTGGGAGGTCGAACTTTCTCAGAGGAGGAGAAGATACCAATACCGCTGCTCGTCCTGGAGAGCCCTCGTCGCCACAGCTGGCGGATTCTTTTCGAAATTCCGGTCAGGGTGCACCCCGGGAGAAGGCCGTGGAGTGGCGGTATCGGTACTTTTTTCGAGTACCCCTACACTTCCATTTCCATGTCCAGATCTCCGAAGATATGTGTTTTCAGCCCTGGCGCTTTTCTTTGATTTCGGCCTCAGGGAGCCGCTTTCGAGCCCTGGGGCCATCCATAACGGATTTTTATTGCAAAGCTACCCCCGGGAGAGGGGGGCGGGAGTTCTGGGGCCGCGCATTGAAAGCATCACATCGTTTGCTGTTCCGGGCTCAGGGGAGAAGCTTGCGGAACAGAAGGGGGGACACGTCTCCAGAATGGAGGTCGGATCCGTTTCGAAGGTTTCTGATCTTCTCGGCGGGGGCTGGGAGGGGGTCCCGCGCCGGCGGAAGAGCCGCTGGCGGACATCCGAAAGTTTGTTGCGTGTGTCTGTATTTGGCTCTCCGCAGGTGCCGCCAGGCGCCTTCACACTGGAGCGCCCTTCGCTTGCAAGGGACTGCCGCCAGGCGAGCAGCTATCCAGTCCACAGCCTGAACAACCGCTTCGCCGTGGCAGACGATCATCCAGATAAGCCGGGGAAGAAGAAACGGCACGAGCAGGAACTTTCGGAGGTCCGTGCAGATTTCTTGGATCGGCGCTCAGCCCCCCTCCCTGCAGGCCTCGGCGCGGCGCCTCCAGGGGGGCCCAGCGCCGCTTCAAGAAGTCCGCGCGGACCTCTGACAGTTTCTGTATACGCCGTGTTTTGTTCCTCCCAAGACCTCCGACGACGTGGTGTTGTTCAATTTGCGGCACCAGAGCTCCGGACCCCCCCCCCGTCATCCCGAATCGGTCGGTTTTGTCCGATGGTCCCGGGCCCACTGACGGGCCCCGGGGGCCGAAGTCGAGGAGAGACGCCAGCGTCGAACAGTTCAGATCGTCGGAGGTCTGGGCCCGAGACAGCCAGACCCTGAACCTGCAGAGGCCTCCCAGTCGTCGCGATGCTCCGCTGCATCCTGAACCTGCGCCCGCGGCCTCTGGGCCCCCTGCCGCGCGGGCGCGGCTTCGGCTCCCACCTCCGAGGAGCTCCCGGGGGGGGGGGAGGTCGGCTACACGGGGGGTCCGCCCCAGGACTGGCCTGCGCGCTTGGATGTGGCCCCCCGGCGGCCCCCCTGAAGGCGCGCACTGGTGGCCACTCGTGCCTGGGGTCACCCTCGCGCGTAGCCGAGGGGGCGGGGGGGAACGAATGCCAAAGGAGGAAAGGGTACGGCAGGTTCGTGTCGTGTCGACGCGGCGGCGACCCCAGCGCGAGCGCCCAAGGTTGAACGCCCCCAGCGGCCCGGAATTGTCTGCTATGGAGCGACCTGCGGTGTCAGAGAGGCGGCGATCGCGCAAGGTGGAACGATCCGCGGGGTGCCAGAAATCAACACGCAAGGCGTCACGACACGGACCAGCCGTACCCAGACCTCCAATCGATTCAGGAAAAGGGCGGAGCTGTTTCGCCGTTTCGGCCTCGGCCCTCGCTGGGTCCTGGGAGCATCAAAACTGGACTCGGGATGAGAAGCCGGCCTCGGAGAAAGGGTCAGGACCCCCAGGCCAATGTCCTCAGAGGGTCGACAATTTCCGCTCTGGAGGTCGAACATCAAGTTTAAGTGGAGGAAACAAGCACCCATAATGGATAAGGCAATCTTCCAGAGTGGAAGTCGAAGTTCCAATTTGAAGATTTTTGTCCCCTGGGTCAGGGGAGGAAACCGATACCACGACGCGTCCCTCGTCGCCACGGCTGGAATCGCGTCGAAATCTAGTCAGTCGGGGAGGGGGGGCGGTATCGGCATCTGCTTGCTTCCTCAGATTTCGGGGTCGGCTGGGTGGAGGGGAGGGAGCATCGACCCGCAAATGCCCATCCATGCACGGTTCTCGCCACAGGGGGCCTGTCGCCAGCCTGTCGGTCACGGAGGGTGTCGCCGGCTCCAGGTCGGTGCTTCCGTTCCCAAGCTTTTGCGTCTCGCTCCGTCGGCCCTCAGGAGCGGGCCCCACCGAGGGTGCCCCACCAGTCGTCCAAGTGGATTACGCGAGCCTCATGAGGCTCGAGCCCAGCGCGCTCGAGCGCGTCCGCGAGGCGTTCGTCGGCCCCAAGGCATACGGCGCCATTGCCGTGGTCAACATCCCTGGCTACGGCGACAAGCTCAAGAAGGCCTTCCGCGCCGGCATCGACCTCGCCCTGACAGACGCCGCTGGGCGCGAGAGGGCCGCTGCTGTGAGCAACACGTACCCTGGCTGGAGCGGTGTACCCGGCGAGGAGACACACCCGTTGCAGAGCAGCTTCCTCTACAATGTGAAGGAGGAGGTCAACGGCAGGATCGACCCCTACTTTGGAAAGAACATCTTCCCCAGCAAGGAGTTCCAGAGCAGCTTCGTGGACCTCGCGGGGCCCATGCACGGAGCGGCGCTGCAGGTCCTCAAGGGCTGCGACGCAGTCGTGGAGACTGGCGGCGCGCGCAAGGGAGTGGGGCGACTGGGTCGGCCTTTCAAGAAGGCAGGGGGCTTCTCTTTGAAGGGATCGGGGGCTCTTCAGAAGTCTGGGGAAGGCAGGAGGGCTTCGGATAAGCCCTGCCTTCCTGCACGGCTACCCCCCTGGGCCCCGCCCCCGGCCAAAATCCGCTCAGAGCCGGTCCTTGAGGCCCTCCAGGGTCCATCCTGGTCCGCGTTTCGAGCTGCGCCCAGCCGTGGCGACGAGAACCTCCAGGAACGCCCGAAAAGCATCCGAAACGATATCGGAGTCGACGTCGCCATTGTCGGCCACACCCCCTTGTGCGCGCGTCGCCGAGGAGAGCATCATGAAGGAGGAGTGCTCGAAGTGGTCCTCTGCTGGGCGCAGCCTCCACCGCCTGGGCGACGAGGGCCCCGTACTGGCCGGCCGATTCATCTGCTACGACTCGGGCTTCACGCGCGAGGCCTGGAGGAGGAACATATACCGATGCCGACGCCGCCGACGACGACGTCCTCGCTTCGGGGGTTTCTTGTTTGTTTGCGCACGGCTGGGCACAGCTCGAAAAAACTGGCAAGGCCGGACCCCAGGAGGGATCCAGGAACCGATTCTAACCAGGCCTGGAAGCTGGGGCGACCACACCGATACCGACACGACGCCCTTCCTGGGGGTCCCTCGTCGCCAAGGCCAAATCCGCCTGGAAGCAGTGGTCGGACCGCGACCGCGCCCAAGATCGCTTTGTTTTCTCGCAAGGACACGCTCCTTAACCAGCGCGAGGCCGCCGAGGAGAGCTCCGCCGCTGCCACGACCCCAGCACACGACGCGAAGCCCGTCGGGCACGCGGGCGACGGGCTGGCCTCGATGCGGACGCACGCGACGCCCGTGAAGTCGGCGGGGCACGCGGGCGACGGGCTGGCCTCGATGCGGACGCACGCGACGCCCGTGAAGTCGGCGGGGCACGCGGGCGACGGGCTGGCCTCGATGCGCGACGCCCGTGACGACGCTGCCCTCGTGACGCACGCGACGCCCGTGAAGTCGGCGGGGCACGCGGGCGACGGGCTGGCCTCGATGCGGACGCACGCGACGCCCGTGAAGTCGGCGGGGCACGCGGGCGACGGGCTGGCCTCGATGCGGACGCACGCGACGCCCGTGAAGTCGGCGGGGCACGCGGGCGACGGGCTGGCCTCGATGCGGACGCACGCGACGCCCGTGAAGTCGGCGGGGCACGCGGGCGACGGGCTGGCCTCGATGCGGACGCACGCGACGCCCGTGAAGTCGGCGGGGCACGCGGGCGACGGGCTGGCCTCGATGCGGACGCACGCGACGCCCGTGAAGTCGGCGGGGCACGCGGGCGACGGGCTGGCCACCGCACGAGCGTCCTCTGTGACGGCGAGGCCGGTGGGGACGGGGGACCAGCTGGCGCTGGGGCGGCCGCTGCCTGGGTCCATCGTGCCCGCTCGAGCGACGAACGAGGCGAGGGCGCTATCCACAGACACAGGTCCGTCCAACACGGGCTCCCAGGAGCAGTTCGCTCTCCTCAGCGCTGCTCAGACTGACGCGGCCGCGGCCGCCGAGGAGGACGTGGGCGAGTACTGGCTCCCCTGGCACATCGACTCGAACTTCGTAACCGTCCTGCACAGGGAGACGTACGCCCATGAGCACGACGCCTCCTTCGCCCCCGACCCGGAAGGCGCGGGCCTCCTGATGATGAACGAGGCTCAGCGGCGAGCCCGAAGTAAGAGGGGGCAGGCTTTCTCAGAAGGCGGCGGGGCCTCTCCGAAGCCCTCGCACCTTCTGAGAAGCCGCCTGTGCCTTCGGAGAAAGCTCAGAACTCTTCTCAGAGGGCCAGGGGCCTTCTGAGCCTTCTCTGAGAAGGCCCTCCTGGGCTCGTCGCCGGGAGGCGGGCGACGTAGCGAGGTGCGAGCCGGACCGGGACGCGCTGCTCCTGCAGATGGGGGCCTTCGGGCAGATCTACTCTGGCGGCGTGCTCGCGGCATGCCGGCACGCGGTGGTCAGCCCTCGCCCCCCGGGCATCGCCCGGTTCAACTATTGCAACTTCTGGTGCGCGCGCTGGAGCTCGAAGAGCAAGAAATTGCACAAACATAATTTCTCGGAGTTCCGCGCGCGGATTTCCTCGATCGGCGTTGGGCCCCCTGGGGCGCCTCCAGCGCTGCCCCTGGCGCGCTCCGCGCACCAGGGAGGGGGCTCTAGCGCCGATCCAAGAAATCCGCGCGGAGCTCCAAAAATATAGGTGTATGCAACTTGTTGTTCCTTTAGGTACGCGCGCTGGAACACCGTGTGCGACACGCCGGCGGGCTTCGAGCACAGGGCCGTCAACAGGGGCTGGAACGCCATGATGGACGACAGCTACCTGGACATCACCATGAAGCAGGGCTTCGCGTCCTTCCGGAAGTTCATGGTGTCTCCCGAGGCCAAGGCGCAGTTCGCAGACACCGTCCGATTTAAGGAGCTGTCCGAGCTCTTGCCCATGCCCGCGCGTTTGGTTCCCGCGCAGGCTGTGGCACCACAGGTGGAGCGACGTTCCGAGCTGGTCATCGATGTGCTCACAGACGTGCGCTGCCCGTTCTCTGCGCTGAGCCAGCGCAACCTGGACCGCGCGCTGCAGAGTCTCGGGCTCCACGATCGCGTTGTCTTCCGCTACCACCCAGTCTTCCTGAACCCCAACGTGCCGAAGGAGGGCGAGAGCCTCGACGACTACCTGCTCCGCGAGTACGGATACTCCAAGGAGTACGCGCACTCGGAGGATTACCCGATCCGGCTGGCCGGCCTCGAGGCCGGCATCAGGTTCAATCCGCACCGCCGCGTGGTCAACACGTTCGACGCATTCTGCCTCATCGAGGTCGCGTCGGCGGTGGGCAGGCAGGACGAGGTGGCGAAGGTCCTGTCGCAGCGGTACTTCGAGGAGGCTGAGGACATCTCCGATCCTTCCGTGCTGCGCTCCGCCGCGGAGCAGGCAGGACTGAGCGGGGAGATGGCGGCGGCGTGGATGAAGGATTTGCAGGAGGCATCTACTCACACCACCACCGTGCCTGGCCAGGGCCATCCTGGGGCCCATGATGGTGTACAGACCCTCCCTGCCTCGGCCAGGAGGGCGTCTCTACACCCCGGGCGGGCCCTGGCCAGGCACGGTGGTGGTGTGTAGGTGCCCTCTGCGTGCAGGAGGACAGCCTCCGGCAGCGCGTGCAAAACCGGTACGAGGAGCTCTCCGAGAAGGTTGGCGAGGTGCCGCATTTCCTGCTGCGCGAGCGATCCTCGGGCAGCGGCGTCGAGGTGGGCGGAAACAGGTCTGTCGACGACTGGGAGCAGGCTCACGACGACGACGATGACGACGACTAGGTTCGAAGAGGTTTTTTCGCCCTTTTCGGCTCCTGGATTTCGCACTTTTCGGCTCCTGGAGACCCGCTTCGGGCCCCGGGACCGTCGGAAATCAATGCCAGGAGCATGGAGGCAGCGTGTAGGTGTCTCCTGCGTGCAGGTGCTCGAGAAGGTGCTCGAGAAGAGTCGCTTTATGGGCATGGCGGTGCCAGGGCCCCACGGCGCGGAGGTGTGGCTGGCCGAGGCCAACCCGCGGAGCCCCGTCAGCCTGGCCTTCCCGGCGCAGCACGGCTGGGCTCCCACCGACTGGCCGTTCAGCCCTGCCGACTTCTCAAGGATTTTCGAAGAGCCGAGCGCTGTACAGCAGAGACTCGGTTTTGGGAGGTCCGCGCGGGTTTCTCGGGTCGGCGCTGGGCCCCCCATCCCCACACCTGGTGCCGCCGTGGCGCCGCCCTGGCATGCTGCGCTCGCCAGGACAGGGGCGGGGAGACGGGGGGTCCAACACCGCCCCCAGAGATCCGCGCGGATCTCCGCAAGACTATTGCTAAAGTAGGTGTTCTGCTTAGCTCCTACAGCGTGTGGCGCCGGTGACTGTGCACATACACGCTGATCCTGGCTGGCCACGCCAGTCCTAGGCACAGGATCTGTGTATTGCATGCCTTCCAGGCTAACAAAGGAGGGCGCATGCATCGACCCTGGGAACCGGATGTGCTTGGCCTCGGCGGGTGTATGTGCATCACCTTGTGGGAGGAATCCAGGTGCTTTTAACTTTTGGTCTGCTCCCTTGCTCTCTTGCTCCCTTAGCGAAGGGAGCAGCCCCCCAGCTCCCGTGCTCCCCTGCCGCTAATGGAGCAGCCCTGCTCCCTTGCTCCCTTGCCCCCCCCCCCCCCGCATGGGGAGGGGGGTAACAAGGGCGCAAGGGTGCAAGGGCGCAAGTGTGCAAGGGTAAAAAGGCTAAAAAGGGTGAAAGGGTATAAGGGTGCAAGGGCGCAAGGGCTCAAGGGCTCGAAGGTGCAAGGGGGCAAGGATGCAAGGGCGCAAGGGAGTAAGGGTGCTCGGGTGCAAGGTCGCGAGGGCGCTAGGGCGCAAGGGCGCAAGGGTAAAAGGGCGCAAGGGTGCAAGGATTCAAGGGTGCAAGGGCGCAACGGAGCAACCACATTGCCCACACCAGATGTGTATATATATACATATATATATATACAGATACGCATGGATGTTTTGCAACACATAGCAAGCACCGCATGGCTTACATTGCGTGGCTTGCACTATGTACGTATATAGCACCACGTAGCGTCCACCACGCAGCTTGCACCACATAGTTTGCGCCAGCATAGCTTTCGAGACCTATCATGCTAGAACACATTGTTTGGGACCCACGCTGGCCAACATTTCTTTCCCCAGATCCTCTCGGGACTGATTCCGTCCCGAGGAGGGGCATGATAAGGAGATGGCGAAGGTGCGGAGGAGGAGGAGGAGGAGGAGGAGAAGGAGGAACTGCAGGTACAGGGCACTGCGACACTTTGGAGGGCGGCACATCAGACCATCACGAATTGGAGGCCACTATTCGCGCGTTTGCAGCAGAAGGCCAAACGATTCTTGCCATGTGCACTCTGGGCGGCTAACAATCGGTCGCCCCCATTTTGGAAGAGACGACCGTTCGTTCAAGAACTTTCAACGGCTGAGTCGGGTTTCCAGGAGAGTGATCTGTTCCGTGAACCGATATAGTCCGCTCGAAGAGCTCTGGCGGAGGCGCAGCTATTGAAACCGCGGGTCCAGATCCAGCGGGTGTTCGGCCGTGCCTTGGGAGCCTCTTCATATCAGGACAAATTCGGGAACACTATCAAGCATAGGATTGCCTCTTGGGCAGTGTGGCCACTGTCGGCTCCCGCTCTCAAAGCCATCGACTGGCTCGCGCTCCGCTCTCGCTTGTTGCAAGCGCCACCTTCATGGCAGATATGCACTGTCAAGACATTGGCGGGCGGGTGGGTGACTGAGAGGAGGATGTCACAGAAGCAATGCCAGTGTATTTTTGGTTGTCTGGAGGAAGAGGCCTCGGACAGGCACGCTCACTATATGTGCTGCCCAAGAATGTGGTCAGCGATCATCGCCGCCTGGTTCCCCGAGGTGCCTCTCCCCCGCCCAATTCTCTCGCGGCTCGCACTTGAACGCTCGCTTACAGATGTGGAGCGTGATGTTGCGTGCCAGCGCATGATCATTGCGTATTACATGTGCAATGCACACCGTCGCTGCCCCTCCCAGTCTCTCGATTGTTCGGCACGTGCTGCACGTGCCCAGATGCTGCAGCAGGCCGAGGTAGAGCGGTGATGACTTTCGGACTTTCCTGGGCTACGAGCGAAGAGGAGAAGGAGGAGGAGTGAGGAGTGAGGAGTGAGGAAGGGAGGGAGAAGGAGTGCGGAAGGGAGGGAGGAGGAGTGAGGAAGAGTAGCGGGGAAGAGGAACGAGGGGACGATGTGTGATGATGGGGAGGGGTTCGCAGGACCGACGAAGAGTCCTGTCATCACCGATTAGCCACTTTGGCTCAACCAAAGGCGGATCGCAGCCGGAGCCCCCGGGCGCGCCATCAGCTGGCCGCGCGGGACCCCTGCCTCCCCCCAGAGGGGGGCCAGCTCGAGCAGGAGGCGGCTTCGTGTGATCAGTGCTTCGCTGGAGGGCCAGCGGAGGCCGCCCCTCGGCCGTCCCCGCGGGCGGTCTCGCCGCCCATCTGTCGATGCGCCGTGGGCCGCTTGGTCGCCGCGCAGTCGTCGATCAGCAGGCCCGGGCACGCGGAGAGCCCCGGCCACCCCGCGGCAGCCAGGGCGCTCGTCCACACCTGGGGCACCCCGCGCGGTCGCCGTTCGGGCTCCGCGGGGCGGAGGCTCCGACGCTGATCCTGCGAGTGCGCCGCCCGCCAGCGGCCCGCGCAGTCCCCAGGAGACGCCGCCGCGCGGGTGGCTGAAGTCCCTCAGGAGCTGATGCAGCGCGACGGCGCCGCCTTCCCAGAAGCTGGCTGCTGGCGCGTCTGCGCGGCTGCACGGTGAGGATGGTCTTCGTCCTCGCGGTGTGCACGAGATGGCCCGTCCCGCGCGCAGACGTCGTGCCTTTGCGCAGGGGCGAAGATGGCTGGGCCGCGCGCCTGCGCGACGCGCGGACGGTGGACGCGCGATCTTTGACGGAGGTGTATATTTTCCTCGCGCCCAGGCCAGACGAGACCAGCAGGGGCGCAAGCGTCCACTTGGAAGCCCAGGGCGCAACTTCGAGCAGTGACTTCGCCCCCGCGCGCGGCCTGGCCAACCAGTGGGCCGCGCGCATTGCGGTGCCGCGGGGCCCCGCGGACACGACGCAGCTTTGCGGCCGCGCGGCCGCAATCCAGCCTCAGGCGTTGCGGGGCCACGTGGCCGCCAGCGCTGCCCTGGGCAAACCGCGCGGCGCCCAGCCAAGAACCGATCGAGTTGTGCAAATCCAGCCTGTCCTCGATGTCCCCTTCCCGCTGCCGTTTGACGCGCGCCCGTGGCGCTGTTCTCTGGTGGTCTGTGGGCGAACGTTCCCCGTCGAAGATGCAGACAGACGCCGCGCGTTCCCCGGCATCCTCGCCCACAAGCCGCCCACGAGCGCACCGATATACATGACAGCGGCCTCCCTGGCGCTCGTCGTCCAGAATTTCAGCGACAAGCTGAACGCCCGCGCCGTTCGTCGCGGGATCCTCAGTCTGTGCGCTGCCAGCGCTTTATCTCTGCAGCTCGGCTCTGGCGCGGTTGCCGCCATGGCGGTTTGTGCTCGGGGGTCGCTGCTTGGCTGCAGGGGGGCTCTAGCGTGGCATGTGGGAAGTATTCTAATCATTGAGCCGATGTGCAGGAGCAAGCGCGGTGCCAAGAGTGCGCCCTTGCTGAGCAGTCGCCCAGCATTGGCCGCCGATGTCGGCTTGTCGGCGAGTCCCCCGCCCCGCGCACTTTTCGCGAGAGCACCGGCAGTGCGCGGGCGACCAGGCGGCAGTGCAGTGGCCGCGATCATTGCTTTATTAGGTGCAAACAGACTCGTCTCTTTGCCTCAGTCTCGGCGCCCCTCGCGATTGGCCCATTGCAGATCGACTGCGTGCGCGCGCCACGAGCAGGCCCGCCCGATGAGGAGCGCGCGCGCCATGGGAGGGATCAAGAGCGCGCGGCGCCGCTTCAAAAGATTTGTTCCCCCCGCGCAGGGGCCCGCGAGGGGGCCGGGCAAGTTGGAGGCCCATCCGCGGGCATTTCTTTTAGGAAGGTCTGCTGCTCGGGGCCGACCCCGCTGCTGCGCGCCGGGGATGCCGCGCAGGAAGCCTGGCGCCAGGCCGCGGTCGCGCAGCCGCATCCGGCGCCCTTCGGGGAATGCTGTTCGGACTGGCGACGCCGACAATCTAATCTCGAGGAGTTATACCGCGACGGGCCCAGGTTCTCCGAGTGCGAGTGGGGCGGCGTGCGCCAGGGCCAGCTGGGCGGGCGCCGGCGCCGCCCCCGCGGCGCGAGGAGGCTAGACGGAGACTGGGGCTGCCCAAGCTGCGGAAAGATGCTGTTCAACATCAAGGATCGTTGCTTCAAGCGCCGGCAGGCACGACCCGAGGATTCACCAGACTTAAGCGGAGGCGGGGACAGAGGTAAAGCCGCCCGCCAGCCCAAGGGACCGCCGGACCAGCACCAGCGGCGGGATAACGCGGGGCGAGTGCCGCTGTCCGTGCCATGAGAGCGCCGGGGGGCTCGCCGCGAGGTGCATGGGCGACAAGGTGCATCCCTAGCGAGAGTTTATGGAAAATGGATCGTCGCTATACGTTGGTGGTTCTGCTGGCCGCGAGAGACTTGAAATTGAACATCAACTGGCGGGCCCCCCCGAGGCGCAGGTTCAGAACGTCGGCGTGACGAGGCTCCAGTCGGAGCCCGACGGGGTCGCAACCGTCGGCCCATGCCCAGCGCCACGTGGCCAACACCGAGCGGCGCGTGGCCAGCGTCCCCGTGCCCGATGCTGAGAAGCTGGCGGTGGCCGCCAGCTCCCCGGCATCCCGGGGCAGCTTGGGGGCTTAGGTGAACCTGCCCGGCGACCGTGGCGAGGCGCCCGGGCGTGGCCAGGCAGGGGGGTCCGAAGGGCCAGGCTCGTCCGAGCCGCGCGCTGGTGCTGGGGTCGCGGGGGTCCTGATCGGCTTAGCCGCGGCGGGGCGGAGCGAGGCGCGTGGGAGTTCGCGTGTCCGCAGCGGGGCGGGGCGCGTGAGGACGAGTAGCGGGGCGGAGCTAGTCTTTCGGGGCCCGTGGGACTTCGCCTGTCAAAATGGAAAGGAGGAGGCGGTAGAAGGAGGAGAGCAAGGAGGAGGAGCAGGATTATCATGGGGAGCAGTAGGGCGGAGAAGGAGATGGAGGAAGAGGAGGAGGAGGACGAGGAGGACGAGGAGGACGAGGAGGACGAGGAGGACGAGGAGATGGAAGAGGAGGAGGAGAAGGAGGAGAAGGATGAGGACCAGGAGGAGGAAGAGGATGAGGACGAAGAGGAGGAGGAGCAGGAGGCGGAGGAGGAGGAGGAGGAGGAGGAGGAGGAGGAGCAGGAGACGAGGAGGACGAGCGAGGACGAGGAGGACGAGGAGGACGAGGAGGACGAGGAGGAGACGAGGAGGACGAGGAGGAGGACGAGGAGGAGGAGGAGGAGGAGGAGGAGGAGGAATAAGAGGAGGAATAAGAGGAGGACGAGGAGAAAGAGGAGGAGGAGGAGGAGGAGGACGAGGAAGACGAGGAGGACGAGGAGGACGAGGAGGACGAGGAGGACGAGGAGGACGAGAAGGAGGACGAGGAGGAGGACGAGGAGGAGGACGAGGAGGAGGACGAGGAGGAGGACGAGGAGGAGGAGGAGGAGGAGGAGGAAGAAGAGGAGGACGAGGAGGAGGAGAAGGAGAAGCGCGGCCGAGGAAGGAGAGTGAGGAACGGGATGGGGCGGGGTGAAGGGCGAGGAACGGGGGGGAGAAGGAGTGAGGAGGAGGAGGCAGCGTGAGGAGGCCGAGGAAGTGGAAAGCAGGGGGTCATTACGCACGTTGGTGGCCACGGGAGCAAGGGAGCAAGGTAAAATGGCTGCTCCCTTAGCTAGACCAAGGGAGCGAGCAAGGGGCAGGGGTGCCCCCTTAGCGGCAAGGGGTCAGGGGAGCAAGGGAGCAGGGCTGCTCCCTTAGCGGCTACGGGAGCAAGGGGCAAGGGAGCAGCCCGAAACTAGCACCCTGGATCCCGCCCGCGCTGTTTACTCCCGTCCTTGTAAGGATGGATGAGTCGCCCGACATGGACATGTACGCGAAGCCCCGTTTCGTGCAGCACCTGGACGACGCCTCCCTGGACAGGTCGAATAACCAAGAATTGGGCGCACGCGCACGCACACTGTATAGGGTCGCCCTGGCTTCACGTAAGAACGACCCTTTGCCACAGTGGCCTTTGGTCTGTGGCTTTCGGGGGGCGCCAGGGGTCAGGCCCAAACACGCAGGCCGGTGCTGCCGCATCTCATGAAACGATCGGCAGGCCACGCACCAGAGCTCATTCTCACCCAGGGTCACTCCTTGCGCGCGGCTGGTCCAGAGGCGTACGCAGGGTGGGGATCGATCGCTCCAGAGCGCTCCCTCAGAGCGTTCCAGACCGGTCTGGAGCAGTTGCGGCGCCCGATACATCCTCCAGACCCCGCCGGCTATCAGAGCTTCCTGATTTATCCCACCAGCCCTCTGGGCGCAGGTAGTCTAACGATGAGTTTCTTTCCTCTTCCAGGAACCCTTCTTCCCCTTCGGGGAGGGGTTTACCCCTCCCCCTACCACTCCGCTGGACCTGGACGGGAGGGGCCGCGAGGGGTTCGAGCCGAGCGTCCAAAATCGGTCTTTGGGAGGGCCAATGCTGCACACCCCTCACGAGGATCGTGGCCCCGAGGGGGGGGCGCCGATCGGGACCATCCCTCCTTTGATCGATAGCCTCGAAGATGGCCCCAAGAGGCGCTCCAGGGCTTCCAAGAGAGCCCACAGAGAGCCCCAAGAGGGCTCCAAGAGGGTCCCAAGAGGGCCCCAAGAGGCACCCGAGAGGCCCCCAAGAAGCCCCCGAGCGGCCTCAGAGAGCCCAAGATGACCTCCAAGATGGCTCAGATAGCCCAAGCTGGCTCAAGATGGCCCCCAAGATGCTCCAAACGGCCCCAAGACCGCTCCAAGAGCGCCCAAGAGTGCTTCAAGAGAGCCCCAAGAAGCGGCTGCCTGCTCCTGAGGGGGGAACTGAGTCGGGGATCACCCCATCCTGTACACGATGGCCTCCCAGATGATCCCAAGAAGTCTTCCAGGGTTACCAAGAGGGTTCCAAGAGGGCCCCCAAAACTCCCAGAGAGCACCAGCAGCAGCAGCAGCAGCCGCAAGAATACCTCTAGATGGCTCCATGAGTCCTTGTCCGCGTCGTCCTCATCCTAGTCCTCGTCCTCCTCATCCTCGTCCTCTTCCGCGTCCTCGTCCTCGTCATCCTCCTCCTCCTCCTCTTCCCCTCGCCCCAACGCGGCACCCAGGGATGGCCCGAAGAGGCCTTCCAAGGCCACCCCCTTGCTCGCTTTGTTTCCCTGGATGTGTCTCTTCGTCCCTTTTCCCGTCAGCTCTGAAGGGCAGGGTTCCTGAATGGGCTGGTGGGGATACTTTTCTGTTCGCGAGCGACACGGAGCAACCGCGCGCCGTCAAAGAGCGAAGCGACTACGCCACGTCCTATAAATTAAGCCCTCGTCTGGTGGGGATATTTTTTTACAGCCGCAGGCGGAAGCGCCAGCGGCGGGAGGTCGCGGGCGGGCTACGGCCGCGACTAAATTGCCTAGCGCGCGCGGGGGCCGCGGATCAGGCGGCGAGGGAGGCAGCGCCCAGGGCGGCAGCCGACGTGCAATCCAGGGAGATTGAGACAGCCCCAGGACGGGCATGCAACGGTGCAACCAACGAGGCTGAAGACAGGCGCCGAGGAGACCAAGCGCAGCCAAAATGGCGCGTGAGGCGTTCCCAGAAGTCCAAATGCGAACAGAAAGAAACGCTCCCGAGGACACCGATCCAGGGAGTCTGACGGGTACCACAGACTGACTCGGGACATGAGTCCAGCGGAAAATTCTGACGGTGACACGAAGTCGCGACGCCAGACGCGCATCCAGGGTGTGGGGGTGACAGGAGAACCTTCCACAACTGAGATGCGTCAGCCCGATCCAACGAGTGGAAGGGCGCCGTAGTGCACGATACACGGTCGACAACGTGGCGTGTGCACATCCAAAGTGTCTCAGCGCTACCCAAGCGAGTCGGATAGCACCCGAGGGACGGGACCCACGTATACCCAAGACGCATCCTTCATAGCCACTGATCCAGGGTCACGGCGGAAGGCCGTTCAGCATTTAAGAGTTCCCGAGGACGTCGATCCAGGGAGTCTGACGGGTAACACAGACTGACTGGGGACATAAGTCCAGCGGGAAAACCTGACGGCGAATCCAAGTCGCGACGCAAGAAAGGCATCCAGGGTGTGGAGCATGATGACAGGAGAACCTTCCACAACAGAGATGCGTCAGCCCAGATCCATCGAGTGGAAGGGCGTCGTAGTGCACGATGCACGGTCGACCACGTGGCGTGTGCACATCCAAAGTGTCTCAGCGCTACCAAACCGAGTCGGATAGCACCCGAGGGACGAGACCGTCATAGATCCAAGGCGCATCCCTCAGAGCCACTTCGATCCAGGGTGACGGCGGAAGGCCGTGCAGCTTTTTTTTTCTTTTTTATATATATATATATAAATCCAGGGAGTGCCAGGCGAGCCGCGGCCCACGGACGGCCGAAAGGAACGCCTGGCGGTGAGACATCTACAGTAGGGCAAGAGGCCACGAGTCCACAGCGGGGGGGCTGTGGACGGTATTGCCGAAGCGCGCACCTGAATCCAAAGGCAGGGGGTGCGCGCCTCGGGTGGAGGGCGGCAAAGCGCTGCGATTGAGAAGCCCACGGCGCGGCCTAGTGCAGCGCCAGCTGGAAATTCGGAAGTGAAACCGACGGCGAGGAGCGGGAGAGCCTTGCGGCGGGAGGGCTGCGGCCACCGAAGGAGAAAGGCAGCGATGCCAGTGGCACGTTGGTCTGCAGGATGCGCGGTGTCACGCAGAGAGCAGATGGCATTACTGAACGGCACCCCAAGGCCCAAGGGTGAGTGAGAGGGCCGTCCAGGGGAGGGGCGGTGGTGCTGCCCCAGGTTGAAGGAGAGAGCGGCGGAGGGCCGCGGTAGCGCGTCGCAAGGTGTCGGTGGTGGCGCGGGCAATGGGGGCGGGGAGGGGGCGGAGAGGGAGCTCAGTCTCCCCAACGGAGTCTCTTTTCATCTCGATCGTCCCGATCATCAGGGCGACCTCCGCCGCGTCTGCCACCCGTCTGCCAGTGATCTTCACGCCATCCGTCGCGCCACTCCCCCTGCTCACTGCCCCAGGTGCCCCAGGAACTTGTCGCACGGTCGCGCCAGCCCGTGTGGTGATAGCCGCCTTTGCCCCTGTCGTCTGTCTGGGAGTGACGCAGGTAGTTGGCTCTTATCCTATCCCAGTCGATATCATAGCCCAACCTCGTTCATCTCGTAGGCGTCGCACCCGCAGTCCTTCCAGGCCTCCTAGGAAATTGTTGATGTCCGAGGGCGAGTGTAGTTTCGGGTCGGATTTGGGCGCCCTCCATCCAGGGACCAGGGTACGCTGCGTGTTCGTTGCCCACAGCGCGCAAAAGACTGCCCCCAGCTCCGACTGAAGCCTGGATATGCGTCTGGCCGGTGTCTCGTCGGGACGTTCGAGCTCGACAGCGCCCAGCCTGACTTTGTACATTGGGCCGCCTCCGTCAGGGCAGGACAACAGGTTGAGTGCGTCATGCTCCGATGAACCAGCATAGCGAGGGTGATAGGGCCTCTGTCCAGGGGGCAGCGGGGTGGGCGCAGGAGAGCGCTCGTACCGCGAGCCACCGCCGTCGCTGGCCCTCTCGCTGGCCCTCTCTTGCCTCGCGGGGTCTCGGGCTGGACCCCTTCTGCGGTCGGCGTAGGGCGTTTCCTCTGCGGCTGAGATCGCGGCATCCTCGCGGCTGGTATCAGAGCTGTCCGCCGATGGGCTTCGCTGCGGCGCATCGCCGCCTGAGCGATTGTCATCATCTTCCTGGGCCGACTCTGAGCACGTGGGAGGACGAGCGGGTTCCTCTTCTCCGTAATCGGGCTCCATCTTGTTCAGGGGGATCCCGTCTTCCGCGCCTTCGCCGTTGTCGTAGTCGGGCGGGTCATAGTGACCCATGCGCGAGTCGTTGTCCACTGTGCCCTGGGACCTGTTTGTGTCGGCCGCCATGGGAGTGTCTGGCCTGTCGTCGCTCGCGCCAGTTGGTGGGGACTCCGCCAGGGAGGTGATGGGTGTTGGCTCCGCCGCCGCACCGGAGCTGCCTGTGGCGCTGGGTCCAGGGGGATTGCTTTCTCCGGCTTTGGTGAATTGGTCCTGGGCCTTGGCGTCCACGCCAAGCCAAGGGAGAGAATCCCCAATGTCCACAGGCGCCTCGAACCCAATCTGGCTGCTGAGCGGGGGAAGGGCAGGAGGTTCTTCTGGATACAGCGATCGGAAGTCGCGATCCAGGATGTGATCCAGGGTGGCCGGGCCAATGTTCCAGATCGGGACCAGGCAGCGTCGGCAGCACCATGTAGCGTTCCATTGGCGCCCCCACCAGGCCAGGGCACGCTTGTCGATGGGGGGCAGCCCGTCTTGCTCGGGAACGCCTATACCTTCCGCCGGCTTCCAGATGAAGCAACCCAGAGGCGGGGAGCCGGGGTTCCAGACAAGGAGCGGGGCCCCTTAGGGGCAGGTGTCGCACCGCGCAGAGTAGGTCTGCGTCTGGGCAGCTTTGATGCCGCAGCGCCCATCCCGGATCCGGAGGATCGGAATGGTGGTATTGGCACACTCAGGAATCTTCATGCCCGTCGGCTCCATGAAGAGATCAGCTAACCGCCTCGTGTCCGCCAGGGGGGTGCACCCGTAGCCGAGCGGAAGGTGCCCCAGGGAAGGGAGGGCGCTCGCCCTGTCGTTGCTGGTCCCCGACATCTGCTGCTCATGTTCCCTGACTCTGTCGGCGAGCTTCGTTCCGGCAGGCGCAGGGAGGCCATTGTCCTCGAGGTGGCGTATCCAGCAGACAGCGCAATGCCACCCCATGTTGGCACCGCTGATGTATGCCTGAGGTCTATTCTCAGCGACCATCTGGCGCGTGCTGTCGGAGATCCAGATACCCTCGGCGGCAGTCAGATGGTCCTTTCCGCACCTGTCGCACGTGTACCTGTTATTCTTTTTCTCGAGCACGAGCCTCTCATCGGGGATGAAAGG